AAAGAGAGCAGTAAGGGACAAAAAGTTAGCATATGAGAAGCTTTTACAAAGTAGAAGTGATGCAAGGAGGGAAGAGTACATGGAGAAAAAGAGAGGTTAAGAGAGTGGTGAAGCAATGTAAAAAGAGAGCAAATGAGAGAGTGGGTGAGATGTTATCAACAAATTTTGTTGAAAATAAGAAAAAGTTTTGGAGTGAGATTAACAAGTTAAGGAAGCCTAGAGAACAAATGGATTTGCCAGTTAAAAATAGGAGAGGAGAGTTATTAAATGGAGAGTTAGAGGTATTGGGAAGATGGAGGGAATATTTTGAGGAATTGTTAAATGTTGATGAAGATAAGGAAGCTGTGATTTCGTGTATAGGGCAAGGAGGAATAACATCTTGTAGGAGTGAGGAAGAGCCAGTTGTGAGTGTGGGGGAAGTTCGTGAGGCAGTAGGTAAAATGAAAGGGGGCAAGGCAGCCAGGATTGATGGGATAAAGATAGAAATGTTAAAAGCAGGTGGGGATATAGTTTTGGAGTGGTTGGTGCAATTATTTAATAAATGTATGGAAGAGGGTAAGGTACCTAGGGATTGGCAGAGAGCATGCACAGTTCCTTTGTATAAAGGCAAAGGGGACAAAAGAGAGTGCAAAAATTATAGGGGGATAAGTCTGTTGAGTTATAGGTAGTAGGTTGGTAGACAGCAACCGCCCAGGGAGGTACTACTGTCCTGCCAAGTGAGTGTAAAACAGAAGCCTGTAATTGTTTTACATGATGGTAGGATTGCTGGTGTCCATTTATCTGTCTCATAAACATGCAAGATTTCAGGTATGTCTGCTACTTCTACTTACACTTAGGTCACATTACACATACATGTACAAGCATATATATACACACCCCTCTGGGTTTTCTAATATTTTCTTACTAGTTCTTGTTCTTGTTGTTTATTTTCTCTTACCTCCATGGGGAAGTAGAACAGAATTCTTCCTCCGTAAGCCATGCGTTTGTAGGAGGCAACTAAAATGCCAGGAGCAAGGGGCTAGTAACCTCTTCTCCTGTATATATTACTAAATGTAAAAGGAGAAACTTTCGTTTTTCTTTTTGGGCCACCCTGCCTCGGTGGGATACGGCCGGTTTGTTGAAAGAAAGAAGTCTGTTGAGTATACCTGGTAAAGTGTATGGTAGAGTTATTATTGAAAGAATTAAGAGTAAGACGGAGAATAGGATAGCAGATGAACAAGGAGGCTTTAGGAAAGGTAGGGGGTGTGTGGACCAGGTGTTTACAGTGAAACATATAAGTGAACAGTATTTAGATAAGGCTAAAAAGGTCTTTGTGGCATTTATGGATTTGGAAAAGGCATATGACAAGGTGGATAGGGGGGCAATGTGGCATATGTTGCAGGTGTACGGTGTAGGAGGTAGGTTACTGAAAGCAGTGAAGAGTTTTTACGAGGGTAGTGAGGCTCAAGTTAGAGTATGTAGGAAAGAGGGAAATTATTTCCCAGTAAAAGTAGGCCTTAGACAAGGATGTGTGATGTCACCGTGGTTGTTTAATATATTTATAGATGGGGTTGTAAGAGAAGTAAATGCGAGGGTCTTGACAAGAGGCGTGGAGTTAAAAGATAAAGAATCACACATAAAGTGGGAGTTGTCACAGTTGCTCTTTGCTGATGACACTGTGCTCTTGGGAGATTCTGAAGAGAAGTTGCATCTTGGGAGATTCTGAAGAGAAGTTGCAGAGATTGGTGGATGAATTTGGTAGGGTGTGCAAAAGAAGAAAATTAAAAGTGAATACAGGAAAGAGTAAGCTTATGAGGATAACAAAAAGATTAGGTGATGAAAGATTGGATATCAGATTGGAGGGAGAGAGTATGGAGGAGGTGAATGTATTCAGATATTTGGGAGTGGACGTGTCAGCGGATGGGTCTATGAAAGATGAGGTGAATCATAGAATTGATGAGGGGAAAAGGGTGAGTGGTGCACTTAGGAGTCTCTGGAGACAAAGAACTTTGTCCTTGGAGGCAAAGAGGGGAATGTATGATAGTATAGTTTTACCAACGCTCTTATATGGGTGTGAAGCATGGGTGATGAATGTTGCAATGTGTGGTGTGAATATAATGCAGAGAATTCGTAGTTTGGAAGTTCGGAGGAGGTGCGGGATTACCAAAACTGTTGTCCAGAGGGCTGAGGAAGGGTTGTTGAGGTGGTTCGGACATGTAGAGAGAATGGAGCGAAACAGTGTGACTTCAAGAGTGTATCAGTCTGTAGTGGAAGGAAGGTGGGGTAGGGGTCGGTCTAGGAAAGGTTGAAGGGAGGGGGTAAAGGAGGTTTTGTGTGCGAGGGGCTTGGACTTCCAGCAGGCATGTGTGAGCGTGTTTGATAGGAGTGAATGGAGACAAATGGTTTTTAATACTTGACGTGCTGTTGGAGTGTGAGCAAAGTAACATTTATGAATGGGTTCAGGGAAACCGGCAGGCTGGACTTGAGTCCTGGAGATGGGAAGTACAGTGCCTGCACTCTGAAGGAGGGGTGTTAATGTTGCAGTTTAAAAACTGTAGTGTAAAGCACCCTTCTGGCAAGACAGTGATGGAGTGAATGATGGTGAAAGTTTTTCTTTTTCGGGCCACCCTGCCTTGGTGGGAATCGGCCAGTGTGATAAAAAAAAAAAAAAAAAAAAAAAAATTACACATCTTAAGCAAACTTAAAAGGCAGGAGAATAGTACTAAATATTGTGCGCACATTCCTCATGCAGATACCTAGACGACATAACAATAGCAACAAAATAAATTCAAACAAAGATACATGTTGTCAGAGATAGAGAGCTAGACAGACAAAAAGAGGAGAGAGGGAGGGAAGGAGGGGGAGGGGGAGGTGGGTGAGTCTTGTATATTGAACATTTTCTTTAAGTGCACATAAGAATGCTCTCCATCACACTAAACTGAACTATCATCTGAGGTACTCCTGTAATAAAATTCTTAGTGCAGTAAAAATGAATGCTGACATGTGTATCACTTATTGAACAATGAATTGCCAAGAAGTACAGCAAGAGCACAACATCTACAATTATGTGCAACTGATAAATCACTGGAGCACTCTATACAGCACATAGTTGTGTTTAAGGCACTGGACTGATGGACCTTCTTTGGTATTAGACTCAATACACTGTTCATTGCTGGTTTCAGGCACACTAGTTACTGCTTCATGTCAAATGACACTTCAAAAAATCCTAAGTCCTGAAGACTTCCTTAGAATTTCTTCTTTGCATGGGCTGGGGATTCAGTTGCCTTTGCTGGTTTACAAACTTTTACTTCACCATATATAAAGCCTGAAATGATCTCCAGTCATTCAGCTGATAATCAGGTGATCATGTATTATTTTCATATGTAACTAGCAAACAGTAACTTCTGTTGCTTCACTTTCTCAACCAGAATTTGTACTGCTTAGATATACAATTTTTGTCATCCTCGTGTTAAAACTAAACTGATTTAAGACATGAGCTTTCTGAAATTTTTTGTCAAGCTTACCTCTTTGATGATAAGCAAATACAAGAAATACTGCCAGAACAAAAGTAGAAGTCTTCAAGAGGAAACTAGGTAAGTTCTAGCAGATGCCTGATCAGCAAGTGTTTATAGGCTGTGGGGACCTGCAGGCCAGCAGCACCAATAGCTTAGGTATCAGTCGGTCACCAGGGAAGCCTGACCTCAAGCTGGGCTGCAAGAGTAGAAAAACTCTCGACACCAGTCACAGGTATGACAGTGATCACGAAATGTAAGATTTCTCTTGTTGCAATTACGATATTTTGGCACAATTATACCACGTGGGAGAGAAAAATATCATCTCAATTACTGTGCAGCAATGAATTACTAAAATTACACAACACAGCATGAATTGTCAACTATATTTCATGGCCCAAATTTGGAAACGATTTTAGACGAAATTAGGAAGCGGGGGTGGCGGAAGGTGAAGGGCAAAGAATGGTAGTGTAAAAGGAAGTGATGTAGAATGAATACTGTAAGGAAAGTGATGTGTTGTTGTAGAAGTATAGTATTATAGGGAAGATTGTAAAGTTGTAGTTGGGGAGTGGAGGGTTGTAATGGAGGTGAGGAAGGTTGTAGTGGAGGGAAATGTTGTAGTGGAGGAGGGAAAGGCTGTGGTGGTGGTGGAGGAGGGGAAGGCTGTGGTGGTGGTGGAGGAGGGGAAGGCTGTGGTGGTGGTGGAGGAGGGAAGGCTGTGGTGGTGGTGGAGGAGGGGAAGGCTGTGGTGGTGGTGGAGGAGGGGAAGGCTGTGGTGGTGGTGGAGGAGGGGAAGGCTGTGGTGGTGGTGGAGGAGGGGAAGGCTGTGGTGGTGGTGGAGGAGGGGAAGCCTGTGGTGGAGGAGGGGAAGGTTGTAGAGGAGGAGAGTTGCTATTACAAGAGTTGTAATAGAAAGGAGGACTGTAACAGAGGAAGGGTTGTAACAGAGGGGAAGGGTTGTAGGGGAAGTGGGGGGGTTGTAGGGGAAGTCAGGGTTATAGGGGAAGTGGGGGGTTGTGGGGGAAGTGGGGGGGGGGGGGGTTGTAGGGAAGTGGGGGGGGGTTGTAGGGGAAGTGAGGGGGGTTGTAGGGGAAGTGAGGGGGGTTGTAGGGGAAGTGAGGGGGTTTGTAGGGAAGTGAGGGGGGTTGTAGGGGAAGTGAGGGGGGGTTGTAGGGGAAGTGAGGGGGGGTTGTAGGGGAAGTGAGGGGGGGTTGTAGGGGAAGTGAGGGGGGGTTGTAGGGGAAGTGAGGGGGGGTTGTAGGGGAAGTGGGGGTCATAGGGGAAGTGGGGGGTTGTAATAAAGAGTAGGGGATTAGACAAGAGTATACAGATTATATAAACCACATCCCTATATACATATCAAATTTCATTCAAATTCACCCACCAGCTTGCTCATCATGTATTGTGATATGAGCATGCCATACAGTTGAAAAGAATACGGTACCTTGCATTAATGAGGCATGGACAATGCTAATAAAAATGCACAAAAATGTTTACAATAATCCTTACTGGTTTAAAGTCATCTTCATCATCCTCCTCTTTTACTTTTTTCCTCTTTTTCTCTTTAGGCTCTGTTTTTACTTTCTTCCGGATGGCCAATGGCTTTTCGTCATCATCCTCCTCCTCATCTTTTATACGTTTCCGGTGAGACTGAAAGAAGGGGAGAATCACAATTAGTTAAATTCTTGTTAACCCATTTAAAGAAACTTCATTTTCAATCATAATTAAGCTATCTGTTTTTATTTACTTTCTCGAGAACTGTCCTCATTTCACATCACATCCATTACATAATTATTCTTGAAATATAAATGATTGAGCTAATTTTAACAAAGTCTTCCATAATTCTTAATGTTTTATATATTCAAGTCACAGATTACTTAATATCACCACCCTCACGCCTCACCCTTACGTGTAGACAGCCTGCACTGTCTGCACAGACAGCCCATGCTGTCTGCCAGTTTAGTTCATATTTTGTTTACCTGGAGTTTACCTGGAGAGTGTTCCGGGGGTCAACGCCCCCGGTCTGTGACCAGGCACTAGGTGCTGCCCTCTGCAGCCAGGCCTCTCGGTGGGCACGCCAGCCTACCTGCCCTTGCCTCTGCCTCACTCACACAGCGGCCTAGCAGGAAGACACAAGGCCTACTAGCTCTCTCTTGTGGCCATGGCCCTCCCGGGCCATGGGTACAACACACAAGCCGGTGTACCCACCACAACTTCAATAAAGTAAGAAGCCTCCGAAGAAGACTTATCATTAACCACCCGCTTTCAGCTCTACCAAACAAACCCGTTATAAATGGTGGGAAGCGGTGATCGCAGCAGTTGCTTGCCTGGAGAGAGGAAGGAAGGAATGAAGTCATCTTCACTTCATCACTCCATGCAAGACGCATCCGTCTCTCAGCGAGTTATCCTGATGTCGTGTCTGCACGTTTCAGCATCCAGACACAGGTACAAGCAGGATCTAGCCGAAATTTGCCGAATTCCTTCGAGAATTGTAAGTGGCGTCCCAGCGACCCCACGCTACAGCGTCCCACGCTGTTTCTCAAGTCATGTGTTCAGCGTCACTTGTATGTTGCTGTTGTTGTTCAGCTCAGCACAGCTGTTTCAGCAAGCCAGAGGTGAGTTTTGTGGTGATTTCTGCGTCCTGTGTTTGTGGGTGGGAGAGGAGGAAGTGGCCGTTCCTCACCTTGCCCATGCTCGCCCTACCCACGCTCCTCGCCACCACACTACCATACACTCACCACTACCCACTCCCTCTGCTGTGTTTTCTGCTGTTTTTCGTGTGAATTTATCGCCAATGCTGTGTATCCGAGTGCCAGAGGTCACTCGATGCCATGTGGATCAGCATGCCATGTAGATCACGACACCACGTGGATCACGACGCCACGTAGGTGTGGGCGATGTCATGTGGACCTACGAGCCACGTGAGTTACCAAGCCAGATGTCCCAGGCCACATGCTGTGGTCTGCTGCCCGCATCACATTGATGTCACCCACGATGCTGCCTGACTTCATGACGTCACGATGTCTGCCTGACGTCACCTTGAGATGTCTGCTGATGTCACAGTGCTGCTGACGTCACCTCGCAACATCACATGATGTCACATCGAGTGTTTCTAGTAATTATTTCAGTATTGTCGAGAAGATATATGTCGTGTGTTAATTAATTCCTCTCAGTCAGTGTTCACACATGTTAGTGTACCGCATGTACCGCGGGTGTGTAAAGTTTCCATGTGTCCAGTGAGGTCTGAGCCAGACCTGAGTAGCACCACTGTGCTAAGTCACCCAATGTGACCAGTGCGTTTGGCAGTTGTTATCAGTCAGCTCTGAGTGTATGAGCCCCCTTTGTACAGAATGCTCTTATGCTCGTCGCTCGTGATGTTCTGCAGAATCGTACCTGCTACGATTCCCATTGAGATTTGTTTCACTTCACCTCCAGACCTTCAGAGTGCAGTTATATGTAGAGAAACAAGTCTGGGGACACTTAGACTAACCTCTGCTATAACTCCAACTGCCGAGAGAATGACACTTGTCAAGCCGCAGTTAGCCCTGTCGGCAGGCGCTGTGTCAGCCTCGTATCAAAAGCTTCAGTGAGCAGCCTGCACAAAGATGATGTCACTTTGACTACTAGCTCGCTCACTGCAGTCTGGTGTATGATGTTACGACTCCCAGATGTTTCGCCCAGTAGTCTCTGCCACGACTTGCTCCACAACTTGCTCCACGCTCGCCGGCAGTGACAGCCCAGCGACAGTACTAGTCGAGAAGTGTCCTCCTGAGTCGCTTGCCAGAAGTCCTGCCCAGTTGCCGAGTTTTGTCGACGCCTCACTCGAGGGCGCCAGCATATCGTGCCCCAGGTTGAGTGAAAACCTGCAGTGACTCCTACGATGACTGCTTCACCGTTCTAGAGGAGACCGTACCCCGTTACGTCACAGCTCAGCCGCAGCGATGTCTCCTTTGTTGCAGTATCTGTCCAGACACAGGAAGGCGTGCAGTGATGCCCTTCAACGCTCACTGCCTATGACCACGATGTTTAGCACACCCCACGTTTTTTTCTTCCCTCCCTGTAGGAAGTTTTTTTTTTCCATGTCCATATGTATATATATGTTTTTTATTTTGTGTTCTGTGCCCTGTGCCCTGTGCCTACGAGAGAGAGACCGAGTTTTTTTTTTTTTACCACCAGTATTGTCGTGTCAGGACGACGCGCGGTAGGTGGCCGAGCGTATGTAGACAGCCTGTACTGTCTGCACAGACAGCCCATGCTGTCTGCCAGCTTAGTTCATATTTCGCGGCACTAGGTGCTGCCCTCTGCAGCCAGGCCTCTCGGTGGGCACGCCAGCCTGCTTGCCCTTGCCTCACTCTCACTCTGGCCGCTCACATCACTCAGTCAAGAACTGTCCACTCCTCTCTCCCTCGTGGGCATGGCCCTCCCGGGCCATGGGCACAACACACAAGCCTGTGTACCCACCACGACTTAACAATAAAGTAAGAAGCCTCCGAAGACATATCATTTACTCCCCGCTACCAGAACACCAAACAATCTCATTAAACATACGTGATGCATGTGAACTCGCACTATACAACCACAAACATGAAATTATATCACTGAGGAAACCAAAAATGAGTTCCTGTAGACCACTTGTTAAAATCATATATTGCCCCTTTTTCAAAATTTGCAATTTCAAAAATGTGAAACTATCTTTTCTGGATAAAAGATCAATGTCCCTGGGTTTATCTGGAAAGAGTTCCGGGGGTCAACGCCCCCGCAGCCCAGTCTGTGACCAGGCCTCCTTAGGTCAGTGTCCCAGGATGCGACCCACACCAGTCGACTAACACCCAGGTACCCATTTTACTGATGGGGAACATAGACAACAGGTGGAAAGAAACACGTCCAATGTTTCTACTCTGGCTGGGAATCGAACCCAGGCCCTCACCGTGTGAAGCGAGAGCGTTAACCACCAGGCCACCAGAGCCATTTCACACAACACTAATTGTTTAAGACCTCATTTAAATATTAAAACACTTCTATAATAACAGTTTAAGCTATATAAAAACTTTATACTATATGCTAGAACATTCTAAGTTCTTCACATTCACATTTTGTTAAAATTATGGACTTTCATTTTTCTGAACTGGTTGAATTTAAAATAGCAATTCTAATTCCAACACGGTGGTACCTTGACTTATGAGTTTAATTCGTTCCATGACTGAGCTCGTAACTCAATTTGCTCGTACGTATATCAAATCAATTTTCCTCATTGAAATTAAATGAAATGCAATTAATCTGTTCCAGCCCCCCAAAAAACCACCCCATTTTTTTGTTATGGGTTTTTAAATAAGAAAAATGTATTTATAAACAAGAAATATTGTATACTCCACCCACCATTATCACTACTCCACCCACCATTATCACTACTCCACCCACCATTATCACTACTCCACCCACCATTATCACTACTCCACCCACCACCATTACTACTCCACCCACCACCATCAGTACTCTACTCACCACCATCACTACTCCATCCACCACCATCACTACTCCACCCACAACCATTAGTACCCCACCTACCACTATCAGTACTCCACCCACCTTAATGTTTCTGGAAAAACTGAGTGTTGAAATGGAGGTTACCTCTTCCCTGGATTTACACTAGAACCAAACAAGGGACGAGGTGCCTCACTACAATCTGGGATTAGTGTGGGAGTATTATCCTTCAAGTTATGTCTTGGAAGAGCATGTGGGATGAGACAAAGTACCTGACATTCCTCTGGGTACAGAGATGGATTTGACTTCAGATACGCTGCCAACTAGTGGCGGCGTATCTGAAGCTCGCTTGTAACTTGTATTTTGGCAGCTCAATGCAAAAAATCAACCAAGGGACAGCTCGTAACTCGGTAAACTTGAAAGTCAAGGTACCACTGTATAGAAACAAAAAAAATTCATCTGCAAGATTTGAACTTCAAAATGCACTCACTTTTGAATTCCATGCATATACAATGTAATTTAATATGTTTATCATGCAATTTAAACTACAGTATAAATCAAGTTCAAAACTATTAACCCAATTACTGTCTTATGTAGATCTCTTGTCAGTGCCAGCATCACTCTCATAGATCTATATTTTAAACAAGTATGCTGTGCGGCATAAATTTTGGCCTGGACATAAGGGGGAATGGGTCTGTGTGGAATGCGTGTAAAACAAACAAACAAACAAAAAAAAATCCTGCCCCACATGGTATACGAGATAAGGAAACCACTGACCACATTATTATTTTATTTATTTTTTATTTTTTTTTTTTTATTATCACACTGGCCGATTCCCACCAAGGCAGGGTGGCCCGAAAAAGAAAAAACTTTCACCATCATTCACTCCATCACTGTCTTGCCAGAAGGGTGCTTTACACTACAGTTTTTAAACTGCAACATTTACACCCCTCCTTCAGAGTGCAGGAGGGGTGTAAATGACCACATATTTAGTTTAAAGTAGTGAGATTTTTTCTGGGACAGTTTTTATTGGATGTTTCTTGGTGTCCATTGATAGAATGGAATACATACTAGTGAAATGATTTTAGTTGACTTCAGAACCAGTAGCAGCTTGAAATATGGCTTAAAGTAAAAGAAATACTCTATTTTTGATGTCCCTAAGGAATGATAAGGCCTCCCCCCTGCCTTCTCTGGTCTGTTTTTTGGGTTTTTACAAGGTCTGCTGTAATTATTGGGATGCCTTAAACAATTACCAATCATTTTGGGCTAAAGCTTATATTTTTTGTGATGACGAATTAAAATGGAGGGCAAGTGTAATATGGGAGAAGCCTGGGGACATGATTAGTGAAGAGGATAGATTTTTTTGGTGTTTGGAATATACACAGTGTTTATTTTGAACCATTTTAATATTGGAATTTGTTTAATTTTGTGTAAAATTGGACAAATTACCAACTTCTGTGCACTTTATACAGAGTAGTTCTGATAGATGAATGGGCAGTTTCTTGTGCTCAATCTCTAGAATTGAAGACATACTAGCAAAATAGCTAGGAATTTGATCAAATTGAGTAATGGAATTGGCTTAAAATAATACTCAAAGGGGTGCAATTACAGATGCCTAAATTGTGCCCAGACCTCCAACTTTGTGCCTGTGTAATTCCTAAGTTCTTCATTAAGTTTAGTATTTTTAAGCATCAGAAAAAATTTTCTACAGCTTCCAAAGAATTTTTTTTTTTTTGAAATTGCAACACTGTCAGCTGTTTTAATTTTGGGGCCACAACAGTGAAAGGTTTAAAAGTATTTACTTGAGCAAATTTGAATTTAATTCAGTCTATCAGAAAAATATTGTGTAAGAAAACATAACAATTTTTACATAAATCAATTTGTAAACATAGCATTTTGCACTGCACTGGAACAAACTCTACAATACAGCCAGAACAAAAAGAAATACTAACTGTTCTATTCCATGCCATGCAAAAATGGGCAAGTCCCAAAGTGGTAAAATTTCTTTACTAGGAATAACTTAGGAAATAAATACTTTATAAAATAAGTACAACTACAAAACCCAACCACTGAACACAATTATAAAGAGCTCCTTAATTTTTTGCTTTTAAATAAGAATAATAATAATAATACCACCACCACCACCCTGCCTTGGTGGGAGATGGCCAGTGTGTAAAAAAAAAAATAAAAACTCATTCCACAAGATACATGGATTTTACAATTACCCCCCCCCCCAACAAAAACAATAGTGGCTCAAAGAAAATGCATTCACCATCATTTGTTCTCTAGCAGTACTGCCAAAAGTACATAGACAATCATAATTCCAATGACCCTTATATAAACTATCATTTGATGATGGTAGATGGTATAATGAGACCAATAACATGGATTGGTGCCTACAATTTAGGACATCATTAATGTATACATGTCAGTCCTGGACCTTAGTCACTAAAAATGAAAGAGAATTATAAAGCACAGTATACACTGTGGAGAATGCAAGTCACAGGTGATGGTCAAATGAAAGCATAAAGTCATCTAATTGCAATAACATGTAATGGTAATATCACACATGCTGGAGTAGTAACATAGTAGTTACCAGCCCTCTGCTCTAAGGTGCTGACAGCAGGAATTAAGGATGCTTTTATATGCCACTGTCAAGAAAATTAAATTCTTGATTTTATCTGGAGAAGTGGCCAACAATACTGTTGGCAAAGCTGCCAATCCCACATCTTCTCTCAGACTTCATCGGGATGAGACACCCAGTAGTGAAGCAGTGAGTATACACTATACCATGTAGGGGATACAACAAAACCTCCACAGAAACTGGGAAAAATCTTTCCACATGTGTTTAAGACCACAAATATGCTGATAACTGAGAAAACACCAGCAATGTGTTAAACATAGGTCTAAAGTGGGACACCTCTTGCAATGGAACAACATAGAAATGATCTACAAACAATCCGAAAGGGACAGAAACCATTATACAGATGCATTCTTTACTTGATGCTTCCAACAATACAGAACACAGGGCTGGCAGCTACTCTCCACAACTCTAGCACACAATTCTGCTACATACTTCTACTCAGCTATCACGTGAAATGGCTATTAGATGTCCTCACCCCTTCACCTGATATCACCTATAACTTGCATTCTCCACAATATATAATGCACTTTCTCTTTCCAGCCTATCATTTGGAATGATTAACCCTTTGACGGTTTCGGCCGTACTAGTACGGCTTACGACCCAGGGTTTTTGACGTACTAGTACGCCTAAATTCTAGCGCCCTCAAATCTAGTGGGAGAAAGCTGGCAGGCCTACATATGAAAGAATGGGTCTATGTGGTCAGTGTGCACAGTATAAAAAAAATCCTGCAGCACACAGTGCATAATGAGAAAAAAAAACTTTGACCGTTTTTTTGGAATAAAACAGTGACTTTGCACTGTATTTTCGTTTGGTATTTATTGTTGTATTCTAGTTTTCTTGGTCTCATTTTATAGAATGGAAGACATATTACAGAAATTGAGATGATTTTGACTGGTTTTACAATGAAAAGTACCTTGAAATTGAGCTCAAAGTAGCAGAAATGTTCGATTTTTACCAAAGTTCAAAAGTAAACAAATCATGCCAAGCGTCCAATACACGTCAACTGGTGAGTCTAATATTCTTTTGCATGTGTGCCAATATTATTTATACCATTTTTTACACTAATGCAATAGTCTGCATAACAGTAAATCTTCTATTTTTTGTGAGAATAAAAATTCAAAGTGGAAAGAAAAAGAATGTAAGAGGGGCCTTGAGACATGACTAATGAACAAAGGAAATGTCATTTTAGTGCCAGGAATGTCTTTCTTGTTTATTCTGGACCCTATTCGGAAATTGGCATCTTTTGAAATTTGTGTGAAATTGGCAAAATTGCTAAATTCTGACCACTGTACTGGATAGTTGAAATTGGTAAATGGATGGTTTCTTGCACTCATTCGATAGAAAAACTGGAGTTCTAGCGAAATATTCATGTTTTTTGTCGACTAGTGCAGTGGAATTAGCCGAAAATGGGGCTCAAAGTGGGCAAAATCGCCGATGCATAAACATCGCCGAGACCGCTAACTTCGCGAGAGCATAATTCTGTAAGTTTTCCATCAAATTTCAGAATTTTGGTGTCATTATGATCAGGAAAAGATTCTCTATCTTTTCATAAGAATTTTTTTTTTTTTTAAATTTGGCCGACCCTGAGAACAAGTCTCGGAGAGGGCCTGCCGACCCTCAAAGGGTTAAGGTCCCAAGATTGGAGTATATCTATTAAAAGACGTCCATAAATATATTCAGTAAGTTGAAATATGTTTCAACTTACCATGGTAACAAAGCTTTGCAAAGCAATTTTCTAGAAGGTAAGTACAGTAATCCTCAATAATAAACTGAAACAGGACTTTTAAAATTAAGAGTGCAATGGTGAACTAATTATGACAACATAATGCAGGCCTAAAAAAACTAAAATTACACAAACAATAAATAAAAGTTGTTGACACTTCCACAGCCATTTCTTGGGGTCACAATACAAGGAATGCAGCATGATCTACGAGCAATAAAGAAGACTGATAAGATACGAGAGCTTCCAGTATACCTTTACACAATTCAGGCACTTACCAATGGGATGTCATCCTCCTCCTCCCCCACATCCTCATCATCATCCATCTCTTCCTTAGTCTCTTCATTACTCACCAGGGGAATATCATCATCTTCCTCCTCTACCGGCTCTTCTTTTATGGGTTCATTTATCACCAACTTGTCCTCTTCCTCTGATTCAATGGTCTCTTCTTTGATGACCAGATCCTTATGTGGTATTGGGTCTGGCTCATTTTCAATTTCAACATTCACCTCAGTCTTCACTTCAATCTTCACCTACAATTAAGAAAATTATTTAGAACCTGTGAACTGTCCATTGTAAATCTAAGGAACACTCCAATACGGTATTTATACTACTTTATCACCCTACCAATTAATGACATTTATAATTTACCATTCTCCCTTTAAACTATATTTACACTAATTTATGTATTAACTATATTTGCTTTGAAATTATCATTTTATAAATTAACCATCTTATGAGTAGAGCTCAATGCCACAATCTGAAATCAGATATATTACTGTTGCCACTAAAACCTAGCACAGCGGAACCCCAAGTTTCGGCCGCATCAAGTTTCGACCGCTTTTTTTGGCCAAATTTTTTCCCAAATTTCAGCCGGCGTACCAGACCTGTCCGCCTCCCCGTACAAGCGTCGCGAGCCAGTCTAGCATTGTTTATCCTTGAGTGAACATTACCCTGCAAGCTCATTCTGCCTGTCATCCAGCCAGGCAGCCATCCAGCCAGTCAGGTAGCCATCCATCCAGTCAGCCATCCAGCCAGCCAAGCAACCAGCCAGGCAGCCAGTCACCCAGGTAACCAGCCAGGCAGCCAGTCACCCAGGTAACCAGCCAGCCAGCCAAGCAGCCAGCCATCCAGCCAGCCAGCCAGGCAACCAGCCAGCCAGACAACCAGTCAGACAGGCTGTCAGCCAGCCAAGCAACCAGCCAGCCAGGCATCCAGCCAGCCAGGCAACCAGCCAGCCAGGCAACCAGCCAGCCAGGCAACCAGCCAGCCAGGCAACCAGCCAGCCAGGCAACCAGCTAGCCAGGCAACCAGCCAGCCAGGCAACCAGCCAGCCAGGCAACCAGCCAGCCAGGCAACCAGCCAGCCAGGCAACCAGCCAGCCAGGCAACCAGTCAGCCAGGCAACCAGCCAGCCAGGCAACCAGTCAGCCAGGCAACCAACCAGCCAGCCAGGCAACCAGCCAGCCAGGCAACCAGCCAGCCAGGCAACCAGTCAGCCAGGCAACCAGCCAGCCAGGCAACTAGCCAGCTGAAAAAATTGTGCATGAATTTAAGAGGTATGCAGAGACTGAAAAATTCAAAGCTCAATAAGTGTTCAATTGTGATGAAACAGGCCCGTTTTGGAAGAAAATGACAAAGAGGACCTACATTACTCAGGAGGAAAAGGCCTTGCCAGACACAAGCATATGAAAGACAGGCTAACTCTTTTGTTCTGTGCTTGCATCTCAAAGATGCCAGCAAATCTCTTCAATAAAGGTAAGTAAATGTTATTTTAAATGCTTATTTAAATTTTATTTTATCTATTGTATACTAGTATATGTATTTATCTGTGTTGTGTGCATGTAAAACCCTAGTTATTCTTTAAAAAAATGTATTTTTTTGTGAATATTTTTGTGGGTCTGGAACGGATTAATTTTATTTACATTATTTCTTATGGGAAATATTGCTTCGCCTTTTGGCCATTTCGAGTTTAGGCCTAGCTCCTGGAATGAATTACGGCCGAAACTCGGAGTTCCATTGTAGTAGTTTCTCTTCCCTCACTTTTAACGTTGTCCTATCACTACATATCTAATTAAAGAAACAATGATAAGTTCATTCTTCATGCCTCACAAAGTGGTGAGGGCAAGTGTTGCAGAGGTGTGGGAGCGAGTTGCAGGGATGTGAGGGAGAGTTGTAGGGGCGCGAGAGGGAGCTGGAGGGGCGCGAGAGGGAGCTGGAGGGGCGCGAGAGGGAGCTGGAGGGGCGCGAGAGGGAGCTGGAGGGGCGCGAGAGGGAGCTGGAGGGGCGCGAGAGGGAGCTGGAGGGGCGCGAGAGGGAGCTGGAGGGGCGCGAGAGGGAGCTGGAGGGGCGCGAGAGGGAGCTGGAGGGGGGCAAGAGGGAGCTGGAGGGGCGCGAGAGGGAGCTGGAGGGGCGCGAGAGGGAGCTGGAGGGGGCGAGAGGGAGCTGGAGGGAGGGGCGGAGAGGGAGCTGGAGGGGCGCGAGAGGGAGCTGGAGGGGGGCGAGAGGGAGCTGGAGGGGGCGAGAGGGAGCTGGAGGGGCGCGAGAGGGAGCTGGAGGGGCGCGAGAGGGAGCTGGAGGGGCGCGAGAGGGAGCTGGAGGGGCGCGAGAGGGAGCTGGAGGGGCGCGAGAGGGAGCTGGAGGGGCGCGGAGGGAGCTGGAGGGGCGGAGGGAGCTGGAGGGGCGCGAGAGGGAGCTGGAGGGGCGCGAGAGGGAGCTGGAGGGGCGCGAGAGGGAGCTGGAGGGGCGCGAGAGGGGGAGCTGGAGGGGGCGCGAGAGGGAGCTGGAGGGGCGCGAGAGGGAGCTGGAGGGACGCGAGAGGGAGCTGGAGGGGCGCGAGAGGGAGCTGGAGGGGCGCGAGAGGGAGCTGGAGGGGCGCGAGAGGGAGCTGGAGGGGCGCGAGAAGGAGCTGGAGGGGCACGAGAGGGAGCTGGAGGGGCGCGAGAGGGAGCTGGAGGGGCGCGAGAGGGAGCTGGAGGGGCGCGAGAGGGAGCTGGAGGGGCGCGAGAGGGAGCTGGAGGGGCGCAAAAGGGAACTGGAGGGACGCGAGAGGGAACTGGAGGGACGCGAGAGGGAACTGGAGGGACGCGAGAGGGAGCTGGAGGGACGCGAGAGGGAGCTGGAGGGACGCGAGAGGGAGCTGGAGGGACGCGAGAGGGAGGTGGAGGGACGCGAGAGGGAGCTGGAGGGACGCGAGAGGGAGCTAAATGGGGTGAGAGTTTTAGTCATGAGAGGGAGTTGCAGCAGCATGAGAGGGAGCTGCAGAGGTGTGAGAAGGAGGCGAAGGGGTGTCGAAGAGTTGTAGTTTGTAGGAGTTGAAGGGTTGCAGTTGTATGGGTGTGGAAGTTGAAGTTGTAGGGGTGATAGAGCAAGTTGTACTGATACACAGATAGACTGCCTATATTTAAAAATATCCTTTAATTTGTATGAAGGCAAAGGTACAATAGATAATTAGGAAAATGACATTTCTTGTGGTTGCCAGACAGATGAATCACTAATTATGTCAAAATAAGCTTAGTGTGTTATATAAAATTTGGTAAGCATCAACATAATTGTTTAACAAAATGAAGCTTCTAGAGGTACATCTAACAAGTCAATTGCTTAGATAAAATTTCCTGGAGAACAGCTCATCTTCAGAAAACAAGCCTGGGCACAACACCTGATCTTTTGAACCCCTATCATTCTTAATCAGCTATAGTCACAAAACATTAGAAGTTTCTGCTTACTTTCTCCTTTTCTTTGTCCCGACTCTTCTCTTTATCTTTGTGCCTATCACGGTCTCTGTCCTTTTCTTTGTGTGGACTCCTATGACTAGAGGTAGAGTGACGGTCCTTGTCACGCTCTTTATCCCGCTCCTTCTTCTCACCATTGCTGCTACTACTACTGTGCTTCTTATCATCACGATGGCGATCCTTGTCTTTGTCGCGAGATTTTTCCCGTTCACTGCGTTCTTTGTCCTTATCTCTATGTTTGTCTCTGTCACGATGTTTGTCCTTTTCACTTCTTTCTTTATCTTTTTCTCTGTGTTTGTCTTTTTCACTCCTTTCCTTGTCCTTATCCCTGTGTTTTTCCTTCTCACTTCGTTCTCTGTCCTTTTCTTTGTGTTTGTCTTTATCACTTTGTACCTTGTCCTTACTGCGTTCCTTGTCACTGCTGCGTTCCTTGTCACGCTCCTTATCTTTGTGAGAGCTTTTATGACCAGATGAATGCCGATCTTTATCTCTGTCCTTATCCTTGTGGGAACTCTTGTGGCGATCTTTGTCTCTGTGGCGATCCTTCTCCCTATCTCGATCTTTGTGCTTGTGTTTATGTTCTTTGTGCTCACGATGTTCTGAAGTACCATTGGAAATGCCATTGGGAATTCCTGTAATTAAAGATTAATTATTTTAAATCAAATTCACATCTCATATACCAATCAGCTAAAGGCATCAATAAACTGGTATTATAAAGGTCAAAACTAACAAACCCAGTCTGCATGTAAATCTTCATAAATATCTATTACCATATTTTATGGTGCCAACAATGCTATTTATTCCCCAAAATAGGTCTCAAAAATTTACCAGTGTTTTGGAGGCCAAAATACCCTTTATCTTTTTTTTCCCCAAAATTAAGCCAATCAGAATGCAGTTGGGATCCTTTACTCCAGAACGTCTTGTTTGCCATAAAATACAGTAGTAATTTTGAAGTTTCTTTTTCAGAAAGCATAATATTGTACACTGTATAGTACACTGCATCAGTAGGTCAGTCCTATACCAAAATCATTTAGGGCAATATTTTGCAACTTAAAAATACATACTGCATTACTTTAACATGTCACTTCATCGAATATTTCTATCAAACGTTGCCGACAAGAAAAAAAAAAACTAAAATCTAATCCTGTTCTGTGAGGGTATGATTAAACATACTGTACTATTAGACACATAATAAATATATTTTTTGGCGCCATATATAATGCAGATTGGGTTGTGCTATTTATTGAACTACAAAACACAATTTATATGGGTTAAGGAGATATTGAAAAAATAAATACTGATCTCCAAATCCATAACTAATCAAAATAAAATTCTGCATTCGAAACTCTCTCCAGGTAAACTCCAGGTACACAGCATAACAATGGAAATATGTCAGAAACAATTTTTTTACTTTTCCTTATTGTCCTGGGCTTTGGAGAACTAATATGACATGCAATATTTGTTTTACTGTATTCATTTCCATATATGTACAGGTACAATCACTCCACACTGTATATTACAGTATAACAACTTACTACTGAATCAAGTGAAGCACTGGGATGGATAGCCTTCAACTTGAGAGAGAGAGAAAAAAAGCAGCTAATGTAAAATTTGTAAACTGGTTCCGGTCTTACCTAGACAAAAAGAAACAATGCTTGCCCACTAAAGCTTGCAAGACCCTATGTTAGGCTGATTTTTTACAATATCATGTAGATTACAATTGTTCATTAGAGTACTCTGCTTGGACCAAAAATAAAAAGCAATCCCAGGTATTAAAAATAAGATAATGGTCATCCTAGGATAAGGGTGCATGAGAATATATAGGACATGAAGTACATATATGTATTGTCCTACAAAAACAGATGGTAGATGGAGAAGATAAAAGTAAAACAGATAAAATTAAATTACGTCCATAAATTGCCATCAACCTGTGTCCAGATTACCTTTTGTCAAATTCTTTATCAAAATCAACACGATGCACAGCAATGTGCAATATCTAATGAATGCAACCAGGTCTAAATTATTATTATATTCATGGGGGAGCACTAAACCCATAGGGGTCACACACTGCCTGAGGGATTGAATAGAATTCTGACTCGATTTAAAGAACTGAAGCTCAGGTCCAATATCTTTGATCAAGAGCCCTTCACCTACATCAAGGAATCTCCATTAAACAGTACAAAGTTAAAATTAAAAGGCACCTTGTTGTTGAAGAAACAAGAAGCAATATGCAATGATGAGCCTTTCGAATATGAAACTTGCATTGACCGTAAGTGTTACCAAATAGATGATACACAATAGTAAAGTGGTTACATGTGAACCACCAGTCTAAGACATTGTCAAAACACAAAATTTATATTACTATATAATTAAAGCCATTTTACCGACATTAAAGATAACGCAGTGACCAACTGATGAGGTCAAATGATATTTTGCTTTGTTAAAATATTCATAATTATTTTTTGATCTGATATATTCATTATTCGAGTGTATAAATCTGTAGTGGAGGGACGGCGGGGTAGGGGTCAATCTAGGAAAGGTTGGAAGGAAGGGGTAAAGGAGGTTTTGTGTGCGAGGGGCTTGGACTTCCAGCAAGCGTGCATGAGAGTGTTAGATAGGAGCAAATGGAGACAAATGGTTTTTAGAACTCGACGTGCTGTTGGAGCGTAAGCAAGGTAACATTCATGAAGAAATTCAAGGAAACCAGCAAGCCAGACTTGGACATGGGAAGTACACTGCTGGCACTCTGAAGGAGGGGTGTTAATGCTGCAGTTTTATAGCTGTAGTGTAAGCATGCCTCTGGCAAGACAGTGATGGATTGAATGATGATGAGTTTTTCTTTTTCGGGCCACCCTGCCTTGGTGGGAAATGGGCGATGTGTTCATAAAAAAAATGCTATTCATTATCACATTGTCATTAACACCTCTAAGGACAGAAAATAAGACGTCTATTTACGTCTAAGGTAAATTAACATGACTCCAAAAACAAGTCACACTGACTTACCTAGATTATCCCAGGTTAAATTCTACATAATTTATTCTTCTTGTGATGCACAGTTTTTTTTTTTTCAACAAGTCGGCCATCTCCCACCGAGGCAGGGTGACTCAAAAAAGAAAGAAAATCCCCAAAAAGAAAATACATACCTACCATCCTACTTACAACCGAGTTTGGTTCCGAGAAACCGGTCGTAAGTCGAACTTTACTACTGAATATCAACAAAACATTTTTGTAATGACTTTATTTTATTGTTTTATTTTGGTATTTCATGTTTTACTTTACTTTTTATGTTGTTAGTACTGTATTTTATACTGTAAGGTTTAGGATAAACACTGTGTACAACACAAATAGTTGTTTATTTCCCAGAAATTTGGCATAAAAAACACGGTCGTAAGTCGAGTGGTCGTAAGTCGAGCAGGTCGTAAGTCGGATGGTAGGTGTACTTTCATCATCATTCATCACTTTCACCACACTCACGCATTATCACTATTTTCACAGAGGTGCTCAGAATACAACAGTTTAGAAGCATATGTACATATAAAGATGCACAACATATCCCTCCAAACTGCCAATATCCCAAACCCCTCCTTTAAAGTGCAGGCATTGTACAGTGGTCCCTCTCTTTTCGTAGTTCTCGGCAATCATAAATTTCGCCAATCATAGGGGTATTTTCGTATAAACATGGACTCGCTTTTCATAGGTTGACTCGCGAATAGTAGTTCGTCTGGGACGCGTACGCACGGTGTGAGCCGGGGCGGCCTCCCTACCCAGCCAGTCTGGCATTGTTTACCAGTGAGTGAAGGTCCCCTCAAGTGCTCCTACGAAATATTTCATAATATTCCACTCATTTTAGTGCTTGCAATTACTAAATAAGCTACCATGGCTCCAAAGAAAGCTCCTAGTGCCAAGCCTGTGGTAAAGAAGGTGAGAAATATGTACAGTGACAAAGTCTTGGGCCATTTTCGGGAAGTGTTAAAGAGACGCCAGAAACAGAGCTCTCTCCACAGTTACTTTGCGATACAGGACTCCAGTGACTCTCAAGGTGGTCTTAGTGGCATTAAGAAACAGAGAAGAGAAGCAACCCCAGAGAAGCAATTGGTACCTGAGGTGTTGCTGGAAGGGAATTCCCCTTCCAAACTGTAAACAATCCAATCTCTCTCCTCCTCCAGTCTCCCATACACTAAGAAGAATCTCCAATAAAGGTAAGTGTTATGCTGTTAATGTTTCATTCATCATTTCCCATTGTATTGTTTATGTACTATATGTATATTTCATATAAAAAAATTTTTGTTTTAATACTTCTGGGTGTCAGGAACGGATTAATTGTATTTACATTATTTCTTATGGGAAAAATTGATTCGCAAATCGTAAATTTCGTTTATAGTAACGGCTCCAGGAACGGATTAATTACGAAAAATGAGGGACCACTGTACTTCCCATTTCCAAGACTCAAGTCCGACTATATGAAAATAACCGGTTTCCCTGAATCCCTTCACTAAATATTACCCTGCTCACACTCCAACAGATTGTCAGGTCCCAAGTACCATTCGTCTCCATTCACTCCTATCTAACACGCTCACGCATGTTTGCTGGAAGTCCAAGCCCCTCGCCCACAAAACCTCCTTTACCCCCTCTTTCCAACCCTTTCGAGGACGACCCCTACCCCTCCTTCCTTCCCCTATAGATTTATATGCTTTCCATGTCATTCTACTTTGATCCATTCTCTCTAAATGACCAAACCACCTCAACAACCCCTCTTCTGCCCTCTGACTAATACTTTTAACTCCACACCTTCTCCTAATTTCCACACTCCGAATTTTCTGCATAATATTTACACCACACATTGCCCTTAAACAGGACATCTCCACTGCCTCCAACCGTCTCCTCGCTGCTGCATTTACCACCCAAGCTTCACACCCATATAAGAGTGTTGGTACTACTATACTTTCATACATTCCCTTCTTTGCCTCCATAGATAACGTTTTTTGACCCACATATACCTCAATGCACTAAACCCACTATGGTCATACAGCATTGTGATGTTCATGTCCAGGCATCAGACTTAATTTTAAACATAAGGTTGCTAGTAGATGATAAAATAGTAAAACATGCATGTATTCAATTTTTTTTTATGCGAGTATATCCTACATCATCATATCATGACACCTACATACATGTAGAGTATTTTTATGTAATCATACAAAAATTAAACTACTTAAATGTACTACTGTATATGATTTCAAGACAGTATACATACTGTGTGTTCAAATGAGTTATAAAGCAAGGGGACCCAATGACACTAAATATTTATAAGCTGGCCCAAAATGCTTTACATAATTGTGGATGTTTCTATGTAGGGAATAAAAAGGTAACATTTTCCAAACTAATGTATTTGCTTGCAAAATGAAATTATAATTCTTACAGTATTTTTATTAAAATCAGCTACTATGCTATCAAGTTATTTATATAATTTGGTTGCCTGACAGATTTACTGACCTTCAGTAAAGCATTCAAGGGAATGGACCACAATAAAGAATATGATATTTATTTGGATTTCTGCAAGGCTTTCAACAAAGTATCACATAAGACTTGAGAAAAGTGGCAAGAATGGAGGAAAGGTTCTAACATAGAATAAGGCATAGCTGACCAAGAGAAAGCAGTGTTTGCATAAATGGGACAAGTCACAAGTGGCAGTCCACAAAGATCAGTTTTAGGCTCATTGTTGTGCATTATTTATATTAATGGCCTTAGCATGGGAATAACAAGTGACCCGAGTAAATTCACGGACACAAAAATAAGCAGAGTAATCGATACTGAGGAGAATACAGTGAACTTTAGAGAGATTTGGGCAAATTAATGTCACGGTCTGAAAAGTGCCAAATGCAGTTCAATGTGGACATCCTTGGGAATGAAAATAATAATCATAGTTGTAGACTAAGTGATGTAGAGCTTGGTCGTACAGAATGTGAAAAAGACCATACAGAATGTGATGACTTAGTAGTCATGGTAAACAGAAGTCTGAAGCCAAGACAACGGTGCCTAAATGTGTACAATAAGAATCACAGATCACTTAGATTTATATCAAGAATTATAAAAACAGGAGTCTTAAAAGTTATATTACAGCTCTATACCTCACTAGTAAGGCTTCACTTAAATTATGAAGTTCAAGTTTTGGTTGCCATACTACATAATGGATATAAATGCATTGGAGAACATAGAGGGTGACAAAATCAATCCACTTTATAAGGAATCTCACATGAGGATAGACTGAGCCTTGATAAGATTTGTTCGGATTTTTATCCTGGAGGGTTAGGTGCCCAGGATAACCCAATAAAGCCAGTGCGTCATCATGGGACTGTCTCATTTCCCTTGGAAATTTCTCATTTGCTCCAGAAATGAGACAGGACAACTTTCCCAATGTTTCCACCCATACTGGGGATTAAACCATGGACACTCAGTATGCAAGCCGTGTGCTATACCAACTGAGGCAAGGTATAATTAAGTTATAAAAGTTGAAGAGTGATGTAAACAAAAGCAATATAAAGAAAGTGCTGTGGATATCGAGTCAAGAAAAAAACTCGAAATAATGGATTTAAATACATTAATTTAGATTAAGAAAGACGTAGGAATGTACTGTTTTCAAAAAGTTGTCGATGAGTGGAACAATCTGCCAAGTGGGGTCATAATAGTTAAGACCTTGAGGAGCTTTAAAAATAGGTTAGACAAGTATATGAGATGGGTTAGTGTAAGCCCTGTTGTGTTGTATATTAACATAAGGATTAAAGCCAACTTCTTTAGCAGCTTTGGGTATAGGCTGGACAAATATGTGGGTAGGAATGGTTGAATGTGAGAAAGACCTGCCTAACATGGGCTAGTAGGCCTGGTGAAGTGTTTCTTCATTATGTTTCTACACTGTTAAGCTTTTACAATGATTGTATATAGTACATTATGCAAAACGTAACATATAAGCCAATAATGTCAAGCACTGACTTACTGCAATAAAACACCATTTGTATTAATTAAGTGTTCAATAAATAAAAATTTACAATCAAGAATCAAAAATTTTTGTATAGGTACACAAGTACAATTATCACACAGTAATGTGTAAAGTACCTAGGATAACTAAAAAATCAAATGTGGTGCATTTCCACTGGGATCCTTGTAATATTTTATTACTTAAAGCCTAGCTGAAGTAACAGTAGAAATCAAGTCATGATTATAAAACAAATAAAACGAGGCAGCAGACAAACTAGCCTCATATACCTATTGATTTTACAAGAGGAGGTACGATGACGTCTGATTAAAATCAAGAAGTAAAGAAACAGTTGTGAAATACACTAAACCAGCTGCAGAGAACTAAAAAAAAATTGCTGAATATTGGGCGTCCGGGTAACTATGGCAACTTGCAAGACCCTGAATACCAGACACGTGGGTGGTGTCCGTATATCTGGTCCTAAGTCTCACCATATACATAATAAATTCATTTAAGTTACAAATAAAACAAAAGTGTGGAATACACAAGTCAAAATAAAAAAGGAAGTAATGTATATAAAGCCAAACGGTGCTGCAATTAAAGTGCACAGCATAAGAAATTGAAGCAGAAGTCGTGGCCAACATACAGAGTCAAGACACGTGTTAGGTTGGGGAGGGGAGGGGAGGGTAGGGGAGGGGGAGCACTAGGGGAGTCTAGAGGGGGAAGGTGATGGGGATCCCTGGAGGAGTGGGAGGTAAAAAGATGTTAGTGCGGAGTATAAAATTTTAGATGAAGATAAGGATGAAACAAAATTCCATTAGTAATTGCGAGAGCTGATGAAACCAAAAGGGCAACAAATAAAGAGGACAAAAAAAAATAAGAGCAGATAGCTGCAAAGAACTCTCACTTTTAGACATGATGCTCAACCTACCCTCATCCACCATATTCTTAACTTATACAATAACAAGTATGCTAGCCTAGACGGTTTAAGCTACGACTCGTCACCAAGCTGTAGATGCGAGTTGGCGTCCCAGTGACGAAATGGAGAGAGAATGAAGAATAGGGAGAACAATGTTGATAATAAGGCTGATGGGAGGTGGGGAGGGAGGACGAGGAGGGGAGGGAGAGAGGAGGGATGATGAGAGGGGAAGAGGAGGGATGAACAGAGGGGAGAGGAAGGATGGAGAGAGGGGGATAGGAAGGACGAAGAGAGGGGGATAGGAAGGACGAAGAGAGGGGGAAAGGAGAGATGAGATGAGAAGAGAGGAGGGGAGAGATGAGAGCGGGAGAGATGAGAGCGGGAGAGATGAGAGCGGGAGAGATGAGAGCGGGAGAGGAGAGATGAGAGCGGGAGAGGAGAGATGAGAGCGGGAGAGGAGAGATGAGAGCGAGAGAGGGGAAGGGAGGGGATGAGGTAAGGCAGGTGGGATGGAGAGATAGGCACACATTTAAAGGTCTAGCTACAACCTGAATTAAATGCACGCGGCCATGAAGGCTGGGCGCCATGGTGTCCCTCACTACTTACAGCTTTCATATATACTTAACTTTTCTATTGGTGAGGCGAGGGTGAACAGAATGCACAACACTCTCTCATTAAGTCCATCTGAACTAGCAGAGGGACAATTCTACAATACCTCATACTACTCTAAACTAGCAATGGCAGACCCCCCACCATTTCCAACTGCAATACTGCAGTGGACGGCCCCCACCTTTGCCAATATCCTAACTTACGACGAACACCTCTTCCCATAAATCCTGTAGCCGAACTAGCAAGAGGTATCTCCCTCAACATACACCGAACTCCACTACTTTAACTAGCAGAGGGTCTCCGTCCCACCATTTCGAACCCAGTGAGTGTACTAGCACTTTTACATGTGCTAGCAGAGGGATGCCCCTCTCACCATCCCCAACCCCGCCCCTTCCTCCATCCTCTATGTTTAACAGCTAGGGACGTGTTCTAGCAGATCCCCCTCCCCCACAAAACCTCAACCCTTTATCTGAACTAACGGCTACCCCCCTTACCCTCTTCCAATCCCTTACCTGAACTAACAGGGACGAACCCCTACCTCTCAACCCCCTAATTGAACAAATGACCAACCCTCTAGCTGAACTAAGCGGGGGCCCCACCTCTCCCACCCCCCTAAATGAACTTACAGGACGACCGCCCAACCTCTCCTAACTCCCCGAAATAAACTAGTAGGACGAACGCCCAGCCAGCAGCAACAGCCTGGTTGATCAGGCGCTGATCCACCAGGAGGCCTGGTCACAGACCGGGCCGCGGGGGCGTTGACCCCCGAAACTCTCTCCAGGTAAACTCCAGGTAAACCCCCCCCTAAATGAACTAACCCAACCTCTCTCAACCCCCTAAATGAATTAACAGAAGGACGATCGCTCAACCTCTCCCAGTCCCCCTAAATGAACTAACCCAACCTCTCCCAACCCCCTGGCCTAAATGAACTAACAGAAGGACGACCGCCCAACCTCCCCCAACCCTCTACTGAACTAATAGGGACCCCCCCTCCCCACTTCTCCCGTCTACCTCAGAATATACCTCCCTCTCCCAACCATCTACCTCAGAATATACCCTATACTTCTCTCAACCATCTACCTGAACAGGTGAACCCCTCCCTACAACACCTAGCCCTCTACCTGAACTAACAAGAGGAACGATCCCCCCCTTTCATTCTCTCCCTAAAATTGAAGGTAGACCCCCACTTTTCCCAACTCTATCTGAACACAGGGACTCCCCATACCTCCCAACCCCTAGCTTACTTAAACAAGGAGACACCCACCTCCCCAACTAGATAAGAGGGGCCTTGTGAGGAATACATCCTTGTATAATATAATTATACAAGTCATTACATATTCCTCACAGCCTCCACCTCTCCCAACCCACTACCTACGTGAACTAACAGTGGGAACTCCCATCCCCAACCTCTCCCAACCCTCTACCTGAATGAACTACGAGACTGGAGAAGGACCTGCACAGTTCTCTTAATTACCCAACACAAAAATAAAATACCTGAACTAGCAATATAGGACCATGAAGTGTCATGTGGCAAATTGGTGGGCCAGACGCCAGCACCAACTTAGACCAAGCTAAATGGTCAGCATCCAGTAGCCAGCTGCTAGTAACATTTTTCACGTTTCTTTCCACGAAAATATGCAATGAATTTTCCCACAAGCCGGCAAATCGAGTTCTCTGGGGAAAACAATGAGTCATCTTTCACACGAATACGGCTTAATTGCGAAATCCTTTGACAAACCTATATGTATGCCTAGCTTGTAAATACCATGTTAGCAGCGATATACGCATTAAAAATCTAAAATGGCGTGGCAGGTGAGGCAGTGAGGCGCCGGGACTACACATTGGGAAATTCCTATGTGGCTACGGGGCGCCCAGAGACAAAGTCCCAACGCCAACCACTGACGCCAATCACATTTGAGTAACATTTTCTCATAAACTATGCATCATATTGCGTTTAAAAGTTAAAAATACTTAATATAAACCCGATGTAGACCGTTAGAAATGAATTAAGAGGCAAATGTAGTAAAGAGTGAAGCAGGTTGTAGCTCCGGCTGTGCTAAGTCTTGCAACGCTTGGGGACTTTGTCTCTGCACGGCCCAGCCACCTACACTTACCGTTCGATATTGCCTCCGTCCCGTCTCCCTGAAACAAATAAATGCCACGATTAGCATACAATTCCTTCGGGAATATGGGAAAGTTCAAATATCACTATAATTCGCCAAGAAGATAGTGCTCCACTTATAGGGGAAACGGGTTCAATGTACGAACTTAGTCTCTGGCAGCCATCTTCCACTTAGAATACTGTCATGATCAGAACACTTACACCAGCTAAATATTCCAAATTCGGCACTTTCAAGACACTTTAAGTGGCTGCATGATCAACATTACCACAAAGGCACTTAATGCACTACTTACCGGCAAGCTAAAGTCGTCCATCTCGGACATCACTAAGAACAGCTCTGAAATTTGACAAAGTCCCGTGTGTGTGTCCAGCAACAGAGTCTAGCGGGGCGGCGAGAGACAGAGTACAACAAGCGCACCTCTGCGCCTGCGTCAGTCTCTTGCCACCACCACACACTCTAACTACATTATTTTTTACCGCACACTTACACTTTTAGCACTTTCTTCGGGTAGATTCTTAATATAGCTCGTTATATTCATTACTTTAGGTGGAAAGTTTACGCCTATATAGAAGAGAGTGTTTGTGGTATAGTGTGGAATATAGCATGATACTGGCTCAAGTATCACCGCTGATTTCAAATTAAAAGGAATCAAGCTTCATTGATTGATTATTTAAACAATGAATAAATCGGTGTTGTTGTACGCTGTTAAGAAATGTTCTTTAAACTTCAGTTAAAGCTTCTTCTTAGACGGGCAGATAAATGTATATTTATACACACACCGAAAGACTTAATAACGTTAATTAATGCCTACTGCTGTAATAAACCATTCTCGCCTAAAAATAAATAACTAAATCTTCGCTTCCTCACCTATTTTTAGTTTATCTGAAGAGCACATGTGCTGAAAAATAAAATATACAATTATATAAACTGTGTAAAATATAAGCTTCATAAAAGCCACTAATTACAACTATACTATGGGTTATTTACTGTAAAGCCAGAATTCTACCGTGGTTATAAAAACTAAATTATTATTATAATCCAACTAAACGCTAAACCCACAAGGGTCTTACATTATTATTATTATAATCAAGGGGAAGCACTAAACCCGTAGGATTATACAACGCCTGTCAATTATTATTATAATCAAGGGGGAGCACTAAACCCGTAGGATTATGCAGCGCCAGTGGGGGGTGTGGAAAGTATTCAGGCTTAATTCAGGGAACTGGAGCACAGATCCAATTCCCTAGATCAAGAGCCCCTCACCAGCATAGCGCCTGTCAAGGGTCTTACAGAGTTGCTATAAAAACTAAAACTATATTGTAACTTCTTATAAACATACCTATTAAGTTATAGCTTGTAACAGGAATATACAAGTCTGATGTTTAAGTTCCTTCCTAACATAAAGAGTACACTGTAGGAATACACAAGCTCATAGATATGTATGGAACAGGTAAACACAAATATAATTATCATACACAGTGTAAATTACCTAGGACAACCCAAAAAGTCAGTGACTTATTTCCATTGGAATCCTTCTATTATATTTTTTTTCATGGAAGATATATTCATGATGAGTTAGACACCTGAGCAACATCTGGGTATCTTTATCCTGTAGATGTTTCGCCAGCCAGTGACTTTATCAGTACAGTACAGAAGACTGAAGAGAGAGAAGATGAGGTAATCAGTCCCTCAGCCTAGGTGTTCAGTACCGCAGTCTTGATAAATCTGATGGCTTATGGATATCCTTGACGAAGGTGGTTATCCACCCAGTTCCTGGACAGACCCAATGGTGCTTAACATTGGTGAGTGATGCACATGCCACACAGAGATAAATGACCACTGATTCAACTGATGTACACATAATTATTATTATTATTATAAGCGCTAATCCACCAGGGTCATACAGCGCTGAATTTACGCATCAGAACGTAAGATAAGAAGGAGCGCTACAGCAAGCCTACTGGCCCATGCTATGCAGGTCCAAGTTACCCACCTGCACCCACTCATGTACTTGTTTATTAACACATCGGCAGTTTCCCACTAAGGCAGGGTGACCCGAGAAAATAAAACACTTTCATAATCATTCACTCAATCACTGTCTTGCCAGAGACGCGCCTACACCACAGTTAAACTGCAATATCAAGACCCCTCTTTCAGAGTGCAGGCACTGTACTTCCCGCCTCCAGGACTCAAGTCCATCTTGATGGTTTCACTGAATCACTTCATAAATGTTACTTTGCTCACACTCCAACAGCACATCAAGACATAAAAACCATTTGTCTCCACTCGCTCCTAACACACTCATGCAGACTTGCTGGAAGTCCAAGCCCTTTGCACACAAAACCTCCTTTACCCCCCTCCCTCCAACCTTTCCTAGGCCTACCCCTACCCTGCCTTCCTCCCACTACAGATTTATATGCTCTCGAAGTCATTCCATTTAGTCCCATCCTCTCTATATGTTCGAACCACCTCAACAGCACCTCCTCACCCCTCTGGAAATAATACTTTTAGTAACTCTGAACCTCTTCCTGATTTCCAAACTACGGATTCTCTGTATTATATTCACACCATACATTGACCTCAGACACGACATCACTGCCTCCAGCTTCTCCTTCTTGCAACATTCATTACCCATGCTTCACATCCATATAAGAGCATTGGTATAACTATACTTTCATACATTCCCTTCATTGCTTCCATGGATAACGTTCTTTGTCTCTACAGACTCCTCAGTGCACCACTCATCTTTTTCCCCTCATCAATTCTATGATTCACCTCTTCATTCATAAATCCATCTGCTGACAAGTCCACCCCCAAATATCTGAATACATTCACTTCCGCCATATTCCCTCCCTCTAATTTGATATCCAATCTTTCAATGAGTATTTTTTCTTGTTATCGTCATCACCTTACTCTTTCCTATGTTCACCTGTAATTTCCTTCTTTTACATACCTTACCCAACTAGTCCACCAACCTCCACAACTTCTCTTCAGAATCTCCCAAAAGCACAGTGTCATCAACAAAAAGCATCTGTGACAACTCCCACTTTGTGTTAGATTCTTCATCTTTTAATCCCACACCTCTTGCCAACACCCGAGCATTCATTTCTTTTACAACTCATCTATATATATTGAATAACCATGGTGACATCACACAACCCTGTCTAAGGCCTGCTTTTACTTGGAAATAATCTCCCTCTTTCCTACATACTCAAACCTGAGCCTCATTATCCTCGTAAAAACTCTTCACTGCTTTCAGTAACCTTCCTCCTATTCCCTACATTTGCAACATCTGCCACATTGCCCCCCTATCCACCCTGTCATATGCCTTTTCCAAACCCATAAATGCCACAAAAACCTCTTTACCGTTATCTAAATACTGTTCATCTGTATGTTTCTCTGTAAACACTTGGTCTACTCACCCCCTACACTTCCTCAAGCCTCCTTGTTCATCTGCTATCCTGCTCTCCGTCTTACTCTTATTTCTTTCATTAATAACTCTCCCATACACTGTACCAAGTATACACAACAGGCTTATTCCCCTATAATTTTTACATTCTATTTGTCCCCTCTGCCTTTATACAGAGGAAATGGTGAAGCTGGAGATACTGTCCTGGGAGACAGAAATGGTGAAGCTGGAGGTGCTGTCCTGGGAGACAGAAATGGTGAAGCTGGAGATACTGTCCTGGGAGACAGTAATGGTGAAGCTGGAGGTGCTGTCCTGGGAGACAGAAATGGTGAAGCTGGAGATACTGTCCTGGGAGACAGAAATGGTGAAGCTGGAGATATTGTCCAGGGAGTCGGGAATTATACGCAGGAAGGAATACATATAAATGACCTCATAGGGGACAGGAGCCATAGTAGGGAAACAAGTGTAGTCAAAGATAAGATAAAACCAATATTGCAAACTAGAAATACCGCAGGAAATAGCAAACAAGAGGACTCCAATAGCAATAGTGAGGATAAATTACCAAAAACAACTGGTGGGAGCTCCATTGTTGGTGCTAGGGAGGATAGAAGTAAGACAGGGAAACATGCACCAACAGGGAATACAGTCACAGAAACCCAAGGCAAGCGGAAACCAAGACTGTGCACATACTATGCACTTGGTATCTGCTGGCATGGGAAATCTGGAAAAACAGATGGGACATGCAACTATGACCACCCTAGAAAATGCCATGCCCATATGAAAACAGGAAAATGCAAACTCCCTTCTGTAAGCTTTTTCACCTGAAATGTGTACCTCTTCAGTACAGGAAAGACTGTGCTATAACTTAAATTGCCAGGCATACCATCTAAAGGGGACAAAAAGATACAAAACATCCAGGCCAGGGGAAAACCTGGGTAGCCACAGCCACTCAAGAGGGAGAGGTTTTTTAGTGCCAGGAAGGAAAAAAAACTGGCAGGAAATGGCAGAAATCGTACACCAAATCCAGTCATTCCTGGAGTGGAACCACAGTCGATGGCCTCCACTCCAAACCAACAGATACAGATACTAATGCCGGAAAAAAAATCCCCCCCCAGTACCAACAATACCACCAGTCCGATAACATTCTTCTTTGCAAATATACAGGGTCTAAAGCCAGCTACAAACAACAAAATACCTTTCATCCGTGGACTGCTTGCAGAGGCAAAGGCAATGTTCGCGGCTTTCACTGAGACCCACATAAAAGATCACTTGGACAACGAAGTATGGATCCCAGGTTACAACCTATACAGATGTGACAGAGTGAACAGGCAAAAGGGGGGGGTTGGCCTGTACATTGCAGAGTCACTTGTTTGCACAGAACTGCTTAATGCCTCAAATGACGTAGTGGAAGTTTTAGCAGTAAAGGTCGAGAACCAAAACCTAGTCATTGTGGTAGTCTACAAGCCTCCGGATGCAACATCCCAGCAATTCCAGGAACAGCTGTTAAAAATTGACCACTGTCTGGAAAATCTTCCAGCTCCTGCACCCAACATCTTGCTCCTGGGGGGATTTCAACTTAAGGCACCTAAAATGGAGGAATATAGCAAATAATATTGTTGCAGAAATAACACCAGGAGGCAGCTCTGATGAAAACTCACACTCACACGAGCTTTTAAATCTCTGCACAAAATTCAATTTAAACCAGCAAATAATAGAGCCTACAAGACTGGAGAATACACTAGCCCTCATCTTCACTAACAATGATGATTGATAAGAAATGTCACCATATCAAAAACAATATACTCAGATCACAACATAATTGAGGTTCAGACATGTATGCATGGAGCCCCAGACCGACAAAATGAGACTAGTCATGAGGGAGCATTCACCAAATTCAACTTCAATAACAAAAACATAAAGTGGGACCAAGTAAACCAAGTCCTAACCGATTAAGCTGGGAAGATATACTAAGCAACACAGACCCAAACTTATGCCTAGAACAGATTAACTCGGTGGCACTCGATGTATGC